GAGCCACACATCCTCCCTTCCTAAAAATATCCCGTCCGTGTGTCCTCTGGCCTGACCCTGACATTAACACTGGTTCTGGTGGCCCTGAGGAAAGGGACCCCCCCCCACTTCATCACCAGCTACAGCAGCAGTGCCAGCACCCCACCCAAACCCCCCTGCGCTGGGAACTTCCCTGTCCAAGGAGGCTGCGCCAAGATGGGCTTAAGGTCCAGAATGGTGAGTGCCAAGGTAGCCGTGCTGGTGACCCGGGCAGGTCAGAAACGCGCAGCGTGATCCCAGGGCCGCTCATCCAGGGATCATGTGAGGCCTGGAGGAGTCACTGGGCTTGGCCTCGGGGATGGGTGGGTGGAGCATGACCTTGCCCCTCGTGCTCTGTGCCCCTGGAAGCTGAGGGACACCCTCGCCCAAGTTCAAGCAGCTGCTTACGATGGCGCTGGGGTGTCCATCTGGACTGAAGGTTCTAGCCCCCCAACTGTCCTGTGTGACCTGGGTGGGCCATGTCATCTCTCTGTGCTGTGTCCCCCCAGTAACATGAGGACCATACTAGTGGGGCACAGGCTGTTATTATTATTTTATTATTATTGTGATTTATATTAAGTAGAGATCTGGTCTTAGTCCCAGCACACAGTTCCTGAGACCCTTGTAATTTGCTAAGTGAGAAGAGGGCGTATCTTTCGTTATACTATTTGGACTCTTCTCTTTGATTCCTGAAACAGCTCCAGAATGATACAGACGAAAGAGGCGTCTTTTGCTATTTGTAACAAGTGCTTGCAACCGCCCCTGAGTTTATGCTGAGGGTGTGGCCTGGGAAAGGCCCTGGAACCACAGGACGGGGGCTGGTGGCCAGGGGAGCCAGCGTGTGGTGGAGGATGGAGTTTTCAGGGGAGAGGGGCTGGGGATCGAGTCAATCACCAAAGGCCAGAAATCTAACCAATCACACCTGTGTGACGAGGCTGCCACAAAAACCCTAAATGAAGGGGCTCGGGGCGCTTCCGGGCCGGGGAGCACCTCCACCTGCCGGGAGGTAGTGCCAGGAGAGGCAGCCCCTTCCCCAAACCTTGCTCTCTGCGTCTCTTCCATCCGGCTGTTCCTGAGCTCTAGTCCTTATAAAAGCTGCTAACCTAGCAAGTCAACGGTTTTCCTGAGTCCTGTGAACTGCTATAGCAACTTGTCCAACCTGAAGTGGGGGGATGTATGGGAACCCAGATTTGTAGCCAAGTGGGACAGAAGTGTGGGTAACCTGGGCACCTGCTACTTTGACCAGCTTCTGATGGGGCAATTGTGGGGTCTGCACTAACTCCGGGCAGTGTCAGAATTCAGTTAAATTATAGGACATTCAACTGGTGTCTGCCCAGAACTGGAGAATTGCTCGGCGTGGGAAAAAGCCCCCACATCTGGTGTCAGGGTTGGTGTTGAGTGTAGAGAGGAAATAGTTTTCCCATTAGTATAAGAATAGTACATTTATAATAATGCTATAGTAATTAATAGAATGTATAGTTATACATGCATATATAATAATATATTATTATTGATATTATCATTATTACTATTAACTGCTGACTGGGTTTGATTCCAGAAAGGATTAGGGGCAGGAAATGAACTTGAATCACAGAGAAGCAGAGTCAGAAGGGGCATTGGGAAAAGTCATCAGGCCCCCCCTCTACAGATGACAGATGGAAGCCACACAGGACAGATGATGGCTCAAGGTCATGCAAGGTCACCCAAGGCACGGAGCTGTTGACATTTTCTCCTCTGAAACTCACCTAAGACTGGCAAGGGCTGCAGCCCTTGGAAATAGGCAAAACTAGAAACTTCTGTTCTCAGTTTAGTTTATTTCACATAAAAATCCCCCCAAGTTTATGGAAATGATGTTCTCACATCACAACAGTAATCATAATGAATTGTTTTTTTGTCTTTAAAAACCGCAAGACTCGCCATGGGAAGGATGGGCGTGTGAACTTTGACTTTGGGGCAGGACTTAGGGTGCCCCCACGTGTCACAAGAGGAAAGTCCATTCATTGTTCCTTTATGACAAGGGATCCAGGTCCTTTGCATTTGGGCCCAAACTGCCCCACAGACACAAATCTTTCCCAAAGCCAGTTCAGAGGGTGGGGGTAGCAGCCTGGCTGGACACGGCGGCCCTGTGTGCACAGAACGTCTCACACCAGTGACAGGCGGCTGGCCTGGCGAGGGCCTCCTCAGGGGTCTTTGTTCTGGAAGGACTGCTGAGGCTGAGTTGGGGTCCTTGGTTCTGCTTGCCCAATGGTTGTCTGTGCTCTTTGTTCTGGAAGGACTGCTGAGGCTGAGTGGGGGTCCTTGGTTCTGCTTGCCCAATGGTTGTCTGTGGTGCTGGTGGTCCGGAGGGGCGGTGGCAGGTCACCGTGAACCTGTTGGAATTTTGTGTGTGGCCAGGATCTTTAGCCTGCAGGGTCCTTGAGGGCTGAACGGGGTCAGCACCTTTGTCTGTAGCCTCTGCAGGCATTTACTAATCCTGGGATTGGGTAGAATGAATTGCTTCCTATCCCTGGCTCCTTTTTTATTTTTTTCCCCTTGCAGCAAGGCACCGGCCTTCCAGGAGTTACTGCATTCACTGGGGTGGGAGTTTGGGCCTTTCAGGACCATGTCGGTCTCAGATGAGCAAGGCTGGCCACCTGAACCTGGAGTTTAGGGCCTGGGATAGAGGGGCCTTGTGGAGGGCAGTCTAGGGAGGCCCATCCACCAACCTCTGCTGCCTCAGGCTCCAGGTGAGGCACCTGGGCCCAGAACAAGGTCCCTGTTCTTTATTCGACATTTGGGAAAGAGCAGAACTACAAGTTACAAAACCCCACTGGGCGCCCAGATGTCCTGGCCTCTTGAGGGCAATGCTGGGTCCCAGAATATGCAGGCCCAAAGCAGCTCAGAAACCTGGCATTTTTCAAGGCAGGAGCGGCTGGCGTTGGGACAATTCCTTGATGCGGCAAAGCGCTGGGCATCCCTTTTCTTAGTGCTCAATGCCACTAGCTCCCTCTTGTTGGGAGAGCTCTAAACGCAGCCCCTGCCATGCCAGGTCGAGAAGCATCAGACATTTCTACTGAGGCCAAGAACCTCATACTCGGAAACTGGGGTGGCTCAACTGAACCTTGACGACAACCAGCTAAGGAACCAGCTTCAGAGCCAGAAAGAGGGGCCCGGGGTGTGTGCCTGCTCAACGTTTGCCCAGATTCATAGAAATAGAGACTCTTAGGGTTGGAGGGGGCACCGAGGACCATTTTCTGCAAGCATTGTCCAGCCTTTTCTTAAATACCCCCCGAGACGGGGAACTCACTACCTCTAGAGGCCACCTGACTGGTGTTTGGACCATAATAGAAAAGTCTGTCTCCTTTGCATGCAGGTGGCTGTAGCAGCCGGCCCACTGGAACTTATATCCCCAGGTGACCTTTGAAACAAACGAACACCCATACCCTGTTTCTTCCTTTTTCTTGGTCTGTGTTTCCAGGATGAGCTTATTTCAGAGTCGGCTTCTCAGCCTCTGCTCTTGGTGGGGATCCAAGGGGCACATCCCAAGTCTGTGTTGAGGGATTGGAGAAGTGGGGGCAGCTCATTCCCTTTGGAGGTATTGATCGATGGCCCTGTGGCATGGCGCCTGCTTTAAAGGGGCTTGAGAAAGTTCTAGATCGAGAGGGTGGAGGACAAGGATGACCAGTGGCAGCTCTCACGTGTGCTGTGGGCTCCAATGCTCCCACGTCGATGTCATCAGAGAAAAAGGGGGCCATTCAAATGAAAAGCCATGAGGTTGAAGGTGCCCAGGGCACAGCTCTGTTGGGGGCTGAGCCTCCTGGCCAGACGCCCAGGATTGCGGGAGCCATTCTGGGAGGAAAGGCACAAGAACGAATTCCAGGTCTGGCCAGGGAGCCGGGGGGTGGGGGGTGGGGGGCATCTATGGCTCCAACCTGGGCCAGTGTCCAGCAAGAGAAGGGTCTTAAAGCAGGACTTTGTGGAGTGGCTGGGACTCGGAGGCCAGAGGACACATGGGCCATGCCCTGTGCTTCTCTCTCTTCTTGGCTGTGAGCTCATGAGTCTGGAAGGGTGGAGGGCTGAGAACCGGGTTCTTTTCCCGAATGCACTTCTACTGCATCATTACAAAAACGTGTTCAAGCAGCTAAAAAGGATGCTGGGTTTCAGAGGTGGGTGGAGGAGACAGGCACCCTCCGAGGACTGGGATTCAGGATGAGGTGGGATGAGATCCAGGGCCAGAGGGCATCGGACAGAGGTTTCTTGGCATCTGGTATTTTCTTTCGTGTTCTTCTCTGTTCTCTCATCACCTCAGGACATGCTGGAGAGGGAAACACACAGGCCACGTTATTATTTTTATTTTACTTGAATTTTTATAAGGATTTATTTGAGCCAAATTGATGACATATGCTGGGAAGCACAATCTCAAATGCTCCCTATTATTATTTTTAAAGAAAGTGGAAAATACTGTCCCGTGTTCTTGGAATCCAAAAGAATGGTCTAATCTGGCTTTGGTGCACCCTCAGCATCAAGAGTGGCACCTGCCCTTCAAGGTCTACCATCTGCTACCCACCTTCTAGATGTGGTTCTGAAGGGGACCGCTCTCTTGGTGCCCTGGCAGAACAGACCTCAGAGCTGATGCCTCCAATCAGACTGGAGGGAAACTTCAACCCATCTACCCCACAAGCCTGTCATCCATCCATCCATTTATCCATCCATCCATCCATCCATCCATCTATCCATCCATCCATTTATCCATCCATCCATCCATCCATCCATCCATCCATCCATCCATCCATCCATCCATCCATCCATCCATCCATCCATCCATCCATCCATCCATCCATCCATCCATCCATCCATCCATCCATCCATCCATCCATCCATCCATCCATCCATCCATCCATCCATCCATCCATCCATCCATCCATCCATCCATCCATCCATCCATCCATCCATCCATCCATCCATCCATCCATCCATCCATCCATCCATCCATCCATCCATCCATCCATCCATCCATCCATCCATCCATCCATCCATCCATCCATCCATCCATCCATCCATCCATCCATCCATCCATCCATCCATCCATCCATCCATCCATCCATCCATCCATCCATCCATCCATCCATCCATCCATCCATCCATCCATCCATCCATCCATCCATCCATCCATCCATCCATCCATCCATCCATCCATCCATCCATCCATCCATCCATCCATCCATCCATCCATCCATCCATCCATCCATCCATCCATCCATCCATCCATCCATCCATCCATCCATCCATCCATCCATCCATCCATCCATCCATCCATCCATCCATCCATCCATCCATCCATCCATCCATCCATCGTCCACATACCCATCTATCCAACCACCCATCTGTCTGTCCATTCATCTATCTGTCACTCTGTATAATTCCTTCTTTGATGTCTTTAATCATTTCTACCTGAGGATACCCGGGAGGGGGTCTAATTCTGTTGATTATTTTATCTGCCGACTTATCCTCATGGTGGATGATTTCCTTGTGTACTCTATGTCTGTGGATGTGAACTCATGTCCAGAAGGCGTGGAATGAGATGGTCTTTTCAAAAATGCATTGAGAACGTGCATTCACTTAGTATCCCCACAGCAGTATTGGTCTAAGATGGCTTTTGGTGTTTATTTCTTAGCTTGGGGCTTCTTGTGTCACCTGGGCAGTATTAGGGCAAGTGTGCAGGCCAAGTGACAGATGTAGGAGAACGTGTGGTCAAGGATTAACCCCGCACATTCCAAGGAAAAGTGTGGCTCTTGCCTGGCTCCTGGGAGGCTACCTCTGAGTCCTGGGACTGTCCTGCCTAGTAAGAATGACTTTGTTTACCTGGGACCTTGGCTCATGTCAGAGAGTCTATGCTCACAGTGGGATTGAGGGGGGAGGTGTCAGTTGACCTCTGGAGGGGCTGGAGAGGAAGGGCAGTCAGCTGTGTATACGTGACTGAGCCCAGTCAACACCCTGGACACCAAGGCTCAAGTGAGTGTCCCTGGTTGGTAACGCTGTGTGTGTTGCCCACGTTTTTACTGGGAGAATTAAGGGCTGTCCTAGTGCTGATTTCCACCTGACTCCCTCCTTCCACTGCAATGAGCTGTCACCATGAGCAGAGCAGCTTTGCTGAGTTCTGCGTCGTTCTCGCAAACCACTGAACTCGAGGGGGGTCTTCAGGACCCCCAACCCCCGAGAAGGCTTTTCCTGGCATCCAGAACCAAGCAGAGACACCGAGACAGGCTGTGGGCAGATGGTGCACCCTTTGGCTGGGGTGGGCTTCACTTAGAAAATTTCAAAAAAAGGCTCCAAGATCACCCTGCTTCCTACCCACCTTGTCTCCTGATCTTCTGTGACCGGAGCAGACCTACGGAAGAGGGAAGGAGTCTTAGCATATCTGCCTATGTTGGGGAGCCTGGGCATTTGTCTGTGAGCCCCAGGAGGGCTGACCCAGCTTCAGCTTCATCTGGTACGAATCAAGTGTCAGTGTGTGTCTGCTGCGTGACAAATGAGCCGGGACAGGCAGTCATGAGGAGCCGGGCCGAGGCCTTCACTAATACAAAACAAAGCCACTGATGTTGCTCGGGACCCACCAGGTCTGGAGGGGCCAAACACAGCCACAGGGACTTGCACAAAGGTCACCTAACTGGGACCTTCCTCTGAGAGCAAAACTTGGGTCTCTCGGTGGCATCCGCTGCCCGTGGTCCCTATGCTTGGCTTGTGCTGAATACAGGGAAGAGGAGGGAATGGTCCCAAGGTAGACCCACTGCCCCTGGGGAGCTCAAGGGCAAGAGAAGGAGGGTTTCACAAGGGTCACAAGCAGGAGGCAGACCTGACAGAGACAGGAAATGTGGGAAGGACTTCCAGAGGCGAGGGAGGGGCCGGGGCCAGGCCATTTGTCTACACATCCCAGGGCGAGGCCCTAAAGGACTCTCAATTGATATTTGGTGGATTTTAAAACAAGGAGGGGGAGGGAGGGAATGGGAGTAGCTGCTTAAGGGTCTCCCCCTGGGCTAAGGGGAGGTTCTGGAACTAGGAGAGGTCCTGAATGCACTAAATGGTGTACTTTATTTTATTAAAATACATTTTCATTGATTTCAGAGAGGAAGAGAGAGGGAGAGATAGAAACATCTATAATGAGAGAGAACCACTGATCAGCTGCCTCCTGCACGCCCCCTACTGGGGATCGAGCCCACAACCCTGGGCATGTGCCCTGACTGGGAATCGAACCGTGACCTCCTGGTTCATAGGTCGACGCTCAACCACTGAGCTACACCGGCCAGGCTACATGGTGTACTTTATAAAATGGTTCATTGGATGTTATGTGAGTTTCACCTCAATTAAAAATAAACGAGTGAGGAAAACCCAGGGGAAGGGAAGGGCCGGAGGCACCCTGTCCCTAGACCTTAAGCCGACAAGTAACATGTTCTGTTTCCATTTTGTCCAGCACAGGAGCCCTGAGCCCGGAAACGTGGCAAGCGAGACCGAGGAGCCAACTTCTAAATTTTATTTACTGTGAATTCGTTTAAATTTCAATAGTGGCCTCTGCAAGTGGCCCCAGAAGGGACAGCTCAGGGTGGAGGGAAGACTGACCCCAACATGGAGCATCTACGGGGGGGTAAGCATCACGCTGGCTGGTTCATACCCATGTTGTGTTTCATCATCCTGGTCACATCAGGATCATGAAAACACGGTAACGCCGTGACCACTTTTATCGGACGTTCTGGCGGGCCCCGCAGGCCCGGTGGGTATCAGCTCTCACCTGTGGTCACCTGCGTCCTTACCTGTGCTCCGCAGGCGCTGCCTCTGGCTTCTCTTCCGACCTGGGCAGGACCAGCTCCGGCTGCGGCCTTGTGCTGGGGACACAGAGAGGTGGCAGGGATGACGAGGCGCTGTGGAGGAAGGGGATCTCGGCTCCCACCGGCCTCTCTGACCCGGGCCCACCGTGGCCTGAGAGCAGTTTGAACAGGGAGGTTTTTGCTGCCCCCAGGAAATGCGGGGCCCGGGAGGGTGGTGAGAAGTGGTCACCCAGGGGCTAATGAAGATGAGGCAGCTGTGAGGAAGGGGGGACAGGGGAGGGGGAGAGACCCTGAACCATTCCTTCTGAGCATTTATCTCAGCGTATCCCCCAGAGGCATCTATGCATGTGTCCCATGGATGCTGGCCGCCCTGTGCTACGGTGCCAGAAGGTGGGTGTCCTGCTTGCGTTAGGTCTGTATTCCTGTTTGTGGCTAAAGCTTGGCAGGTAGGAGGAGTACAATGAGAGAGAGAGAGAGAGAGAGAGAGAGAGAGAAAGGAAAGGAGGGAGAGAGGGAGAGAGGAAGGGAGGCCAGGAGGGAGGAGGAAAGAAATATTTCCACTTCATGCCCATTGAGATGCCTACTCTCATAAAAACAAAGTAACAAGTTATGACAAGGATGTGAACTGGAACTCTGTGCCCTGCTGGTGGGAAGGTAAGTGGTGCAGCCACTGTGGGCAGCAGTATGGCTCCCCTACGTGAGGTCCCCAGAGGAGTCAGATTCACGGAGACAAAGCAGCTGATGGGGGCCAGGGACTGGGGGAGAGGTCAGTGTTTATGGGGACAGAGTTTCCGTTTGGGAAGATGAAGTTTGGGAGCTGGGTGGTGGTTATGTTTGCACAACAATGTGAATGTACTTAGTGCCACTGAGCGGCACTGGTTAAAAATGGTTAAAATGGTGAATTTTACATTATGTGAGTTTTACTACAAGTAAAAATTTTTTTTAAAAAATGACAGGATGAATGAAGAAAGGGAGGGAGGAAGGAAGGAAGGAGGAAAGAAGGAAGGAGAGAAGAGCTAGGAGAGGAGTGAGGAAAAATTCCCGAATGGCTAGGGATGGTGAGCCCCGCCCGCCCTCCGCCTCGCCGCCTCCATGCTGCCCTCTGTCGTCATCAAATGCCGCTGTGTCTCATCTGCCGACATCACCCTGCCCTGTCTCCAGGACCCGCTTTCCTCACTGGGTGAGGTGTCCCTCTCTTTTGCCATTTAAAGAAACTTCTGGACCAGGAATCTCTCTTAGTCGCCTCTGTGTCCCTGGATTCTAGCCCAGAGCCAGGCAATGATACACGCTTTCCACCTGTTGGAAGCCCCAACTCTCCCACAGACTTGCTGTGTGGCCATGAGCAGGTACCTCGCCCTCTCTGAGCCTCACATACCTGGGCTGTAAGATGCCGTTCGTATCCTGGACCTGCCTGGCTTTTGAGGGGCAAGGGATGTGAAAGTATCCACGCGATGGGCTAAGGCAGTGGTTCTCAACCTTCTGGCCCTTTAAATACAGTTCCTCATGTTGTGACCCAACCATAAAATTATTTTCGTTGCTACTTCACAACTGTAATGTTGCTACTGTTATGAATCGTAATGTAAATATCTGATATGCAGGATGGTCTTAGGCGACCCCTGTGAAAGGGTCGTTCGACTGCCAAAGGGGTCGCGACCCACAGGTTGAGAACCGCTGGGCTAAGGGCTCTATAATTGGGCGGGACCAGAACCGTCTTGAAGGTCTGTGACATACTGGATCTTATTAATGAGAAACGAGCCAGTAAGGCATTAAGTGGGCACGTCTGGGTCTGTTGCGGTGAGTGTGGGGCTCGTGTTTCCTCTGTAAAGGGAGACCTTGATATCTCATCATGATTACCCTGAGCCCACTGCTTTGCAAGGGGCTACACTGCTCCTGATTTTCCACTGTAACCCCCAAGGCCACTGTGAACGTTTTATTTGCCTAATGTCGTTCTGTGACTCAGTAGGGAAATCTGGATTTGGACTCGGGTCCGACTCCAAGTTCTCGAGAGAAGTGCAGGGCCTCTAGTGTGACATTGGTCCCTGCAGAGCCAAGGCCATCGGCTGCTCCCCACAGGCAGGCCCAGCTCAGCGCCAGCCCCCACCCGCCCGGACAGGGCCACTCTGCACAGACCTTTCTCTCCTGGCCTTGAGCCTTTCCTCTTCATACCTGGAAGAGAGGAGGAGCAGCAGGTCAGACACAGCCCTCCTTCCCCGTCGGTACACTGCCCAGGGAGCTCTGAATGGAAAGCAGGGTTCAGGGAAGAAAGTACAGCCGGAGCTGACAGCCTGCTGGCCTTTACATGTTCCCTGCAGCTGCTCTGCAAGCCCCCCAGGGCAGGGAGTATCTGTATTCTTTTTTTTTTAAATAAATCTTTATTGTTCAGATTATTACAGTTGTTCCTCTCTTTTCCCCCCATAGCTCCCCTCCACCCAGTTCCCACCCCACCCTCTGCCCTTTTTCCCCCACTGTCCTCATCCATAGGTGTACGATTTTTGTCCAGTCTCTTCCCACACCCCTCCATTAGGGCAAAATATTTCTGTAAAGGGCTGGAGAGTAACTATTTGCAGCTTTGCAGGCCAGTCTTGGTTGCACCAACTCAATTCAGTTGTAGCTTGAAAACAGCCCTAGAGGATCTGTTAATAAGTGGGTGTGCTACTAAAACTTTATTTATAAAAACAAGCTGTGGGCTGTGGCTTGCTGGCCCTGCCCCGCACTAGGTCCCCAGGCCCACTGTACTTCCTAATTTCACACGTGTTTGTTTCACTGATGCCCTCCGTCCTGCTGCTCTCCCGCTCACGTCCGGTTTTGGGCAGCTGAGTGGGAACCTGAGGAGCCGGGGGGCCTTGAGGATGCAGGAGGGGCACTCACAGGGCATGGGGACACTCACTGTAGCACGCAGTCTGGGATCTGCACGTGCTCCATGGGGATGAGCTGCTCCAGCTCTTCCAAGCTGTGCACATACTGGATCTTGTTGATGAATTTGACGCTGCCAGGAGGAGGAGAAGATGTGGTTACCCAGAGCCAGAAGGAGCGATGGCAGACAGGGTGGCACGCATAACCCAACTCGAGGATGCCCTAAGCACCTACGCTCAAATCTCCCTCCCAGTGCCAGGCTCCACCCTCTACCCTAGTGGGGTGGACAGACCAAGGCCTGGGGGCTCCCTGGCAAGAGGAGAGGGGTCCCGGGCCCGATCCCCACTAAGCATATTTTTAAAGGCAGCAAAGAGGCAAGAGGTTCTAACAGACTAAGTATCCTCTTCATCCACCTAAGAATTGCTCCTCTGCGTTCATTCTCCCAGGGATGCTTTCCTGGCGCTCTCGCCCCTGCTGGGGACACCAGTCGTCATCGGGGCACAGAAAGGCACACGTGGGGCTGCTGATTCACCCTCCATTCTTTCGGGATGAATGGCTTCTTCCTGTCCAAGCCCGGACTCAGGCTGTGGGCACCAGGCTGTGCTTGGTCACCAGCACGCTGCTTTGAACTCACGGTTATTAAAAAAAAATTTCTCAACTCAAATCTAGTCTTGGTGATATGGAAAATACACTTTTTTCCAGGGAAAAGAAAAAATTTTAACAATGAGAAATGTAAGGCCAAGAGAATACAACAGCACAACAAAGAAGAAAATAGCCCCAGCCGGTTTGGCTCAGTGGCTAGAGCGTCGGCCTGCGGACTGAAGGGTCCCGGGTTGGATTCTGGTCAAGGGCACATGCCAGGGTTGTGGGCTCGATCCCTGGTGGGGGGTATGCAGGAGGCAGCCCATCAATGATTCTCTCTCATCATTGGTGGTTCTATCTCTTTCTCTCCCTTCCTTGCGGAAATCAATAAAAAAAATATTTTTAAAAAGTTTGCTAAATAAAAAAATAATAAATTTAAAAATTAAGAAGAAAATAAGTAAAAATAAAAAAGGAAAGCTATGCCCTGGCTGGTTTGGCTCAGTGGATAGAGGACTGAAAGGTCCCAGGTTCAAATTTGATCAAGGGCACATGCCTGGGTTGCGGGCTCGATCTCCAGGAGGGGGCGTGCAGGAGGCAGCCAATCAATGATTCTCTCTCACCATTGATGTTTCTCTCTCTCTCTCCCTCTCCCTTCCTCTCTGAAATCAATAAAAACGTGTTTTTTTTAAAAAAAGGAAAGATACAGCGAAACGTCTACAAGAGTGTCAAGAAGATTTATATCTATTTTTAGAGATTAGACAAAAATTCAGCTCAAGCTTTCTGGCATTCAGCGATGAGTTCTGCAGCTCACAGTGCCTACAAGGGAAAAATAAAGCAGTTTCTTCGAAGAGGCCAACGGGAACTGATTGGGAAAGACGGAGTTTTCCCATGGGCAGTCACAAAGCAGCCGTGTGTACTGGAATGAACAACGCCCACTGCTTTCGTGCAGGTCAAATGCATTTTTTTTTTATTAAAAAAATTATTCTCACAGCACGAGGCCTCCCTCCAGTGGGCGTGACAGAGGTTAAGGGTGAACAGGTAGAGAGCGAGTCTCAGACCCGGGCAGGAATCGTGTCCCCACCTGTCTCACCGGGGTTGTCTGCTCTGTGCCTGAATATGCCCGGGTTCCGCAGGCTCAGGGCGGACTGATTGGTTTTGTTAGGAAGGATTTCTTTGTGGTGCTCAGAGCCAACACCTGCTGCTCTGAGTACCGGTCTATAAATACAGGCAAAACTTACGTCATGAGGGTGTGGTCACACCCACCATGCCCGTCACTGGAAACAGATACCCCTATCTCTGCTGTGACTGTGCTTCTGCCTGTGAGCTGAGCTTTCTGACTCATGTTGGGGCGGGAGGAGAGGGGGGGAGCACTATCACGAGGGAGAATTCCAGGTCAGTGGCAGCACATCCCCAACCTTCAATTAGCATGGAACACACCAGGGTTTTCTTGGAGATACAATCACAGAACCTCGGGGTTGGACTGCAGGTCAGAATTGGCCTCCATTTTCCTCAGCTTTTCTCTTACAGATTTTTAAAATTGACTTTTAGAGAGAGAAGAAGGAAGAGGGAGAGAGAAACATCGATGTGAGAGTACAGATTGGCTGCCTCCTGCACGCCCTTCTGGGGATCGAGCCCGAAGCCCAGGCCCTGACCAGGAATCGAGCCTGCAACCTTGTAGTGCCCCAGATCATGTCCAACCAACGGGGCCACACAGGCCAGGGCACTTTCCTCAGCTTCCAAAAGGAGAAGTGCATTTTCCTCCCCTCTCCCCTCTTCTTTCTTTGAAAGCTCAAAACAAGATCCTCACAATTTGCCATGGGAATAGCAACCAAGAGTGAGGGAATGGTCTGCCTTGGGTGATGGGATATTGAGGCCAGAACGCCGTTCTGTTAGGCCGACGTGTGTGTTCACCGTTTTGCCCAGTGGGTTCATCATGAGCACAAAGGATGCATAGTTAGTGCATTATTCGCCTGCTTTCACTATTACGAGTCCTTGAGCACAGAGCGCCTGAAGTTACCTCCTTGCAAATCCTTCAAGGCAAAGTATGGGCCCGACTCTCTCTCTCTCTCTTTTTTTTTAATTTCAGAGAGGAAGGGAGAGAGAGAGAGAGATAGAAACATCCACGATGAGAGGGAATCATGGATCGGCTGCCTCCTGCACGCCCCACACTGGGGATGGAGCCCACAACCTGGCCATGTGCCCTGACCAGGAATCGAACCGTGACCTCCTGGTTCCTAGGTCCAAGCTCAACCACTGAGCCATGCTGGCCGGGCTGGGCCCGACTCTGAAACGCATCACAGATTCTTAGTTGGGAATGTGGAAATGAAGAAGGATCTTGACTCAGTTCAGTGTTTGGCATGATATTAAATTAAATGTACATTCAGTTTGTATGTGATTGACTAGGGCATGTAAATTTGGGTTTCCTTGCTCTGTTTCTCCAGGTGCTTCTATATTGTGCAGCAGAGGGCGAACCTAGCAGGCTTGGAGGACCCAAACCCTGCACATTGCAAGGAAAGAGCTGGCTCTTGGTACTCGTGGGAGATCACCTGTAAGCTCAGAATTGTCCTGCCTGGTAAGAGTGTCTTAGGTGACCTGGGGCCTCAAAGCCTGCCGTGTAGTCTATGCTAACGGTGTGGTTTAGGGTGGGGGCCTTGAGCCACGTCATGTCAATTTGATCTCTGGAGTCGCTGAAGACCGAGTAGGTTCGGGCACCTGGTGCTCCGTTCCCGTGTGGCTAAGCCCCGTAAAAACCCCGGACACCAGGGTGAGCTTCCTAGTTGTCACGTGTGCTTGCTGGGAGCATCAGGGCTTTGGGCACAACCGGGAGGGGCTCACTGGAAGCTCATTTCCGGTTTCTCCTAGACTCCCGTGTGCACCCGTTTCCTTTGCCAATTTTAACCTTCATCCGTTCGCAGTAATAAACCGGAACCAGCGGAACCATGGGTATAGCAGCTTCTCTGAGTCCTTTTGGTGAATCATCGATCCCAAGAGGGGGGGTTTCACGTGTTGGTTCATTGAATGATTGGCCAGGAGTAGGTCAGACCCTCTTGGCATCCTAATGGCTCCCCCACAAATTCTGGAGTGAACGGAGCTGGGTTCCCTCCTGGGGAGTGTGGTGGGCTAGTGACCTTGCTGTGTGAGTCTGGGTGAGTTCCTGGACCTTTCTGAGCCCCAGTTTACTCATCCCTGAAATGTACACGATGACACCAGCGTCTCAGGGTTAAACGGTAAGAGGTATCCACCATTCAATATGGGAGAGCTGATTATTATTTCTCTCGTGTTTGTCGCTTAATAACAATACCTGTGATTGAAAAGTGTTTAAATTAATAATACCTATTTAGCATAGAGAAGTTGGGAAATGCAGATTAAAAATAAAAGACACAACCCACGCGGGATCTGGACACAGGTTGCAGCCTCACCTGATGAAGGGGCGGGAGATGGCCAGCACAGTGCGGATGAACCAGGACGGGTGGACGATGATTAAGGACTTCAGGTTCTTCCGTAACCTGCGTGGGAAGGCAGAAGCAGCAAGATGGGCTCCTGGGGCAGGCCCTGGGGAGGGAGGGGCTGCCTCCTCCGCCCTCCCTGGGGGCACCACCACGTTACAGGGAGAAGGCAGAGTCTCTGAAAGCTAAGCCCCTTGGCGGAGTTTGCAAGTGTTGGAGCTGTCTCTCTCCTAAATTAGAGTCTGAGCAATTTTCATTTGTCATGCTGAATTGCATTCCCCCTTTTCCCCCCAAATCCATAACTTCTGGGTCCTGAGAAGGGGACACTATTTGGAAAACAGGGTCTTTGCAGATGTAACGATTCCAGGTGAGGTCAGACCAGAGCAGGGTGGGCCTCTAATACATGATGAGTGGCGTCCTTGTGAAAAGAGGAAATTGAAGACACAGATGCACACTCAGGGAGATGCCATGTGGAGATGAAGGTAGAGACTGGGGTGATGCATCTACAAACCAGGGGGCACCACGGCTTGCCGGCGACCACTAGAAGCTGGGGGAGCACGGAGCAGATGCTCCCTCAGGGCCCCAGAGTCTCCCTCTGGAACCAGCCCTGCTCGGGTCCCCTTGCACCGGAGGCGGGCCCCGCCCCTCCCCCTCACCTTCTATCGATCATCTGGTAGCACTTCTTCAGCCAGCTGATGCCCGGCATCCTCCGCCGGGGGGTGGCACCATTCAGGTACACGATCATGTAATCCTCTGCCACCAGGAGTTCCAAACTGCTGATGACGTACCTGGTCACAGGGCACAGAGGACAGGGGACCCAGTGAGAGCGATCCCGAGTTAGAAAGCCCCAGGTCCTGGGGCTGGACACCTGTGGCACCTGCTCCCTTTGCCACCCCCGGCCCCAGCTGCGCCAGCCACACCTGTGCAGGAATTGTTGGCTGTCCCAGCACACTCCAGGGTGGGGGGTGGATGCGATTAACCCCAGCCCACCCCAAATTTGTGTCCGTGAGTATAATGATCACAGTAGTTACTATTTAATTGAGCACTTACTATGTGCCATGCTTTATACGCACGACTTCACTGATATGCATTATCTCCACTAATTCTGGGGATGGGACTCAATAGCCCAGATATAGCTGGGGAACAGGCACCCACCGTGGGTAGTTCACGGCACCAGATGTTAGGGACCTGGGGTCCCTCCTGGCTCTATCTCTCTCTGAGGGATTTCAGAAAAATCCTTTCCTCTCTCGTAGCCTCTCCTTTCCCGTCTGTAATTGGGAGGCTGGGTTCCCTGGTCTCTCAGGCCACTTCCCATTCTGACCTCCCACAGGTACCTCCTCATCCTCTGGCCCACCTGGCACCCAAGCCGTGCTGTGTAAGAAGGGAATCTTCATAATAATGATAATGAGTGACCATGACCTACAGAGCTCTTACTGTCATCTGCCCGGTGCTTTGTATGTGTTACCTGGCTCCGTCACAACAAAACGCTACCTGTGTGTCCTTGGGCAAGTGACTTACTGTCTGTGCCTCGGACTCTGCCCCTGTCGAATGGGAGGCGCCCACCCCACAGGGTTATGGAGAGGATGGAGTGCGTCATCAGGGACGCAGCACGCAGCCTCGTGGCTGCCGCGTAGTGAATACTCAACACATGACAGCGACGCTGACGATCGTGATTGCACCGATGAGGCCCAGTGGGTGAGCAGGGAACTCAGATCCGGGTCTGCTGGTGGCCCAGCCCCTGCCTGGTGCCAGGCAGAGACCCCTCCCAAAGTGGTTCGCACAGCCTGGTCCAGCCCGCTGCCAGGGCCCTCAGGAATGCCGGTGTGGGGGGGGGTGCAGCCCGCGGCCACTTACAGGAAGAGGTGCTCCATGAGGTAGTGGTAGTCGGGAGAGCTGCTGTCTGGGAGGAAGCAGGCGGCAAAGACGATGATGGCACTGAGACCTTCACCATAGTACCCTGGGGAGAGGCCGCCAGTGAGTGCCCGGGCAGAGACGGGCAGAGCCCTCGCTGAGCTCTAAGCTCTGAGCCGCCCCAGGCCCCTGACCTGTCCTGCCTTTGGTAGGGAACGCCAGCCATCCTCCTAGGCACCCCCTATGTGCACCCGGCATCCATGGCTCATCCTCATGCAAGTTCCACCCCCACCCACCCAGAGACGAGAGCTTAGCATTCCCGTGGCTCCTGAAGAGGCTGGGGTTCAGAGAGGGCCACTGAGGGGGCTCCAGTTGCCCAGCTGGAGTCAGGAGGGGGCCCCAGGGGTGTGGCCTCACCTCCGTGGGTCACCACCCTCATGTAGGGCCGGATCATGTGCAGGTCAATGCGATGCTCTTGTTCTCCGATGATCACTGTCCGCCACAGGCGCCCGTTGGCGGCACTGCCGTCCTCAGCCGTGCCGTCCCCGAACAGATCCGCGCTGGCCCCCGGCATGTTCTTGGCAGCGGCCACGGGGGTGTCATCTGGAAGGGACGGCTGAGTTTGATGTCTCGTCCCAGCCTCTCCCAGCTCCCTCTGCTGCCCATGGCCGCAGAGCCCCCACCTCTCTCCCCAGGCCACAGGCAAAACACTTGTCCTCTACTTCGCTCACCAACAGCGTTAGCCTGAGGCGGCTGGGAAAACGAGGGACTTGGTTGTCAGAAAGTCACACCCAAATAACTTTCTTTCAAGCCACGGTGTACAGGAACGTGCCCAGGGTGGGTGTCAGGCCGTCAGCCGGGGAGAGCTCATTTCTGTGAACGGCCTGCTGTGTGACCGGGCACGCCTTCTTTCCCTCTCTGGGCATCGTCCCTGCTCAGCCACTCTTAAAACACCCACCTCGTTCCCACCTCTCGTCCTGCAGGCCTCCTGCCTCAGGAAGTGACTCGGCCATATTCCCAGCTGCTCAGCCCCCACCAACCCCAGGCATCACCACTGGCTCCTTCCCCCTGCAGGCCTCCTGCCTCAGGAAGTGACTCGGCCCCCACCAACCCCAGGCATCACCACTGGCTCCTTCCTCCCTTTATATTCCACACCCACCCAGCAGGTTCTGCGGCTCTGATTCCATCCGGCTCTGATTCGATTCCCGTGGCCACCGCCATCGCAGTCTTTCTGACCTGACCTGTGCTTTTGTCTTGAGATGTCAGATCAACTAACATCCCCTCGGCGAGACCTGCCCTGACCACCCTTCCAAAGGAGTCCCCCACACCCAGCTCCCCAGCTCAAGGGGTCTCACCCTGAGCATTTAGGGTATTTGGGCCTGGATCATTCTCTGGGGGGGAGGGGGAGGGGCGGAGAGGGCTGTCCTGGGCACTGTGGGGTGTTGAGCAGCACCCCTGGTCTCCACAGATGTCACTGAACATTGCCCAGTGTTCTTTGGGGGACAGAATCACCCCTCAGGTGAGACCCTGCCCCAGGCCTTCACCTCCCCTAAGGTGCTCACAGCACGGATGACCAGCTGCTTGACCTCACACTCCTTTCTTTCATTACCTAGCGTCTGTCTCTGACCAGCGTCGTGCAGGCGGGCACCCTCTCTTCCTGCCGTATTCCCTTCACACCCCACGACGCAGGTGAGACCTGCTCCTGAGTAAATGCCCCACAAACACGCGTGGGGTCAGCTGGAGGCACTTTCTTTTGGTCTCGGTCAGCTTTGAGAACCATGTCCCCCCAGAAAAACCCAAGTTTACAAGAAAAACATGCATGGAGTTGCAGGGGCAGGATGATCTGGGGTGCCCCGTGAGCCCTGAGTTGGGGAACCTGCCCTACCCGAGCCTGCAGGGATGGAGGAATTGCTCTACCAAGCTGGCCCCGGAAGCCAGTAGGGCTGCTGAGTGCGACCTGGGGCCAGGCAGGTGCCGTGAGCAAACCCCGAGCTCACTCACCTTCCCACTCCAGCTCATTGCCGTTCCCCAGGAACTCCAGCGAGTCCGTCTCATCGGGGGTCTCGATGTCATCCACGTTGATGTCCAGGTCATCGGGGGTGTCCAAGAAGTCGTCCGACAGCAGGGAGCCCTCGCTCTGGTCCAGGGAGATGTTGATCTCCGGGGCCACCAGCGTCTTTCGCTTGCGGTGGGCTCCGTTGAAGTTCAGCGTGTTGGGAGGGGCTGCGGGGAAACAGGAAAACAGAAACAAAACAAAACAAAACAGGTGCTTTTTCTTTCTTTCTCCTCCTCTCCACTTCCTGACCCGGTGGGAGCCGCACCCCATTGTGTGGTAGGCTCACTCCCTATATTTAGTAAATGAGAAACTGGAAGCACAGAGAGGTTGAGTAACCAGCTCAAGGACACTCAGCAGCACCGCTGTGACGACTTCGTGACGGTGCCCACATGTCTCCCGCCCACCACAGCTGCTTTCCTTTCAGGCCTCGGAGCAGAACCACCCCCTTTCCTGACGTGCCACTCAGGAGTCACAGCCTCTGGCATGTCTACAGTCTCGGGCAGAGCACCCCTTCCTGCACGTGTGGAAACTCACAGGACGTGTCTTCTGCTGGGCTGCCAAGCGCGTCCATCCCCGTCTCTTCCCGGAGTGGCCTGGGAACCCAGCCAGGAGGGGCATCGATCACCAGGCACCGAAAATCCAGCAACCGGAGCAGGGAGTGCAGACAACAACAACAACACCCGTTTAGCTCTGGGAACCGTTGGCACAAAACACATCTGTGCATTAGCACAGAAAATCAGAGCGCCCCGGTGCCGGAGGGCTCCCTGCAGAGAACAGAATGGATATTGTCTTTCCATTAGGGAAAGCCAAAGCTGAGAGGGCGGGTCTCGTCCGGGGTCACACGGTTTTACACGCTCTGGGATATAAGCCACACTCTTCATGGGGTGGCTGCAGAGCTTAGATGCAGCAAGAAGTTTTCCAACGGACATGGCAGTCAACTGGAAGCGCTCTCCACGGCCAACGCTGGGGCAGTTATTTGGCTTGTAAGCCAAAGAGTAAAAGAAAATGTCCATGAGACCATATGGGTCTAAAGAAATGACTGGTTAAATAACTATAGGGGAGAAGAGACAACTTATCTGCACAGAAAAATTCCAAATAATGTATGTAGATACTCTGCCCTCAGGAGATGGAGAATAGCTCCCTGCGCTTTACTGTGGGCTGGACAGCATGTATGGTGCCAGGTGGGTGCTGGAAATAGCAGAAGAAACCTGACTCACACCCTCAGGCAGGGGCTCAGGTCAACGTCAACAGTGGTAAGACTTGCTGACACGTGACCCTGGTAGTGACTTCTTTCCCAAGAGGACAGCATGAGAAGGGCACAGAGGGACTTTGCAGTGGAGAAACCTGACCCACACCCTCAGGCAGGGGCTCAGCTCAAAGTCAACAGTGGTAAGACTTGCTGACACGTGACCCTGGTTATGAGGGGACGGAAGGGCCCTTCACTGTGGGGTCTTCCTCTCAGAACCCATCACCCTGGTCTAGTCATGTGAAAAACACCAGACAAACCCCCAATTTAGGGATGTTCTACAAAATCCCTGATCCTTCCTCCTCAAAACCTGTCAAAGTCACCCAAAACCAGGAAAGTCTGAGAAAATGTCACAGCCCAGAGGGGCCTATGGAGATGTGAGGACTGAATGTTACCTGGGATCCTGGGTGGGCTTCTGGGCAGAGAAAGGATATTAGGAGAAAAGGACTATGGATCTGAATAAACTGTGGACTTAAGTCATGAATCATGTATCAACGCTGGTCCATTCATTGTAACAAAAGTACCAACCTGATTTAAAATGTTAATCATAGGAGGAGCTGGGTGTGGGGTATATGGAACCCTTCTGTACTATTGGTGCAACTTTTCTGGAAATAGAAAACTTCTAAAAGGTATTTATGCCGTTATATTGACTAGCCTTTCGATGCTGTACTGTACATCCCTATGACTATTTGTAAGTACCAATACGTACTTCTCAATACCTTCCCCCTTTTCACGCAACCCCCAATCCAATCCCCCTCTGGCACCCATCAGTCTGTTCTCTGTATCTATGAGTCTGTTTCTGTTTTATTTATTCATTTATATTGTTCATTAGATTCCACATACAAGTGAAATCACATGGTATTTGTCTTTTTCTGACGGACTTCTTTCACTTGGCGTCATATCCTCTAGGTCCATCCATGCTGTCACAAATGATAAGATTTCATTCTTATGGCCAAGTAATATTCCATTATAGATATATGTACCACTACTTTTTTATCTACTTGTCTGTTAATGGCCCCTTAAGTTGCTTCCATACCTTGGCTACTGTAAATAATGCTGTAACGAACATAGGAGTGCATATATTCTTTCCAATTCCTGTTTTGGGTTTCTTCAGATACATACCCAGAAGTGGAATCGCTGGGCCACCAGGCAGTTCTACTTTTAATTTATTGAGGGCCCTCCATTCTGTTTCCCATAGTGGCTGCACCAATATGCATTCCCACCAACAGTGCACAGGGGTTCCCTTTTCTCCCCGTCCTTGCCAAGACTTGTTGTTTGTTGTTTTATTGGTGATAGCCATTCTGACAGGTGTGAGGTGATACTTCATTGTGATTTTAATTTGCATTTCGCTGATTAGTGATGTTGAGCATCTTTTCGTTTGTCTATTGGCCATCTGTATGTCCTTTTTGGAGACGTGTCAATTCAGGTCCCTTACCTATTTTTTAATGAGGTTGTTTGGTTTTTGGTGTTGAGTTGTATGAAGGTTTTTTAAAAAATAAATTTTGGGCATTAACTCCTTATCAGATGTATCCTTGGTGAATATGTTCTCCCATTCAGTGGGTTGTCTTTTTGTTTTGTTGATGGTTTCTTTTTTTATATATATTTTATTGATATTTTTTTACAGAGAGGAAGGGAGAGGGATAGAGAATTAGAAACATCGATTAGCTGCCTCCTGCACATCCCCTACTGGGGATGTGCCCGCAACCAAGGTACATGCCCTTGACCGGAATCGGACCTGGGACTCTTCAGTCCACAGGTTGACGCTCTAGCCACTGAGCCAAACTGGTCAGGGCACGTTGATGGTTTCTTTTGCAAAGTTTTTCAGTTTGAAGTAGTCCCATTTGTTTATTTTTTCTTTTGTTTCCCTAGCTTGAGGAGGTAGATCAGAAAAAGTATTACTAAGAGAAATGCCCGAAAATAAAAATAAAATCTATTTTCTAAAAAGATAGAAATGTCAAAGATTTTACTGCCTATGTTTTCTTCTAGGGTTTTTATGGTTTCGAGTTTTACATATAGTCGTTAGTCCATTTTGAGCTTATTCTTGTAATAGTATATGGTATAAGAAAGTAGGCTAGTTTCATTTCTTTGCCTGCATCTGTCCAATGAACCAAACACCATTTTATTGAATAGACTGCCTTAACTCATTGTATGTTCTTGCCTCCTTTGTCAAATATTAATTAAGCACGTAGGAGTGGTTTATTTCTGGGCTCTCTATTCATGTTCCTATCTGTCTGTTTTCATGCCAGTACCATGCTGTTTTGATTACTATGCCTTGCAGAATAGTTTGGTATCAGGTAGCGTGATTCCTCAAATGTTGTTCTGTCTCAAGATTGCTATGGCTATTTGGGGTCTTCTGTGATTCCATTCACATTTTTTGATTATTTGTTAGCGTTCTTTGAAATATATTATTGGCATTCTGACAGGATTTGAGTTGAATCTATAGATTGCTATGGGTAGTATGGACATTTTAACAATGCCCCCGAGCATGGCATGTGCTTCCATTTATTTGTATCTTCTTTAATTTCTTTGTTCAGCACCTTGTAATTTTCCAAAAACAGGTCTTTTACCTCCTTGGTTAAGTTCATTCCTAGGTATTTTTGTATGCAATTGTAAATGTGATGGTTCTCTTAATTTGCCTTTCTGATGGTTCATTATTGGTATATAAAAATGCAACAGATTTCTGGATATTTATTTTGTATTCTGTTACTTTACTGAATTTATCTATCAGTGCTAGTAGATTTTTGGGGGATCGTTAGGATTCATTATATAAAGAAAAAGCAACTTTAAAAAATGCTGCCCTCTATGCATTTGTGCCCTGCTAATGCTTGGTGGAGCACAGATGTGCGGAATAAGACCTGTCTCTCTGGTAATGACCAGACTGTTTTTTTGGAGCAACAGCTCTGACTGCCTGAGCTTCACCCAGGAGCTCCAGGTCCTGTGCTCCCCGGGACCTGTCCAATCCCAGGCGGAAGGATCTGCAGCGTGCACGGGCTGTCCCAGACCCTAGCTGTGGGGCATGCTGACTCTGGGAAGCACACAGCCTTCATTCGTTTCTGCCTCTTCAACTGAAAGGGGGGCTGTTTAGACTGGGAAGGACGGTAGAATGCGCTTTCCTTTCCTTTTCAAACACTCTTTCTTCCCTCGCCTCTGTTCCTTGTAGGGGATGACCTGGTACCTTTTCCAGGGTGGAACCTTCCCATGCTTCTTCCTTTTCCTCCCTCCCACCTTTTCCCCATGCACCATGCATTGAATGTTCTTTGAGTAACCACTCCCTTCCATGTGCTTTGATGGGTTTTGGAGGTACAGGATGAATCAGATGTTGGCCTGCTCTCCTGGAGGTCAAAAATAGAGCAGAGCCCCTAAGAAAATGAAGACATCCGTCCACACGAAAAACCCATACTCGAATGTTCACAGAAGCACGACTCACAATAGCCAAAAAGTGGGAACAACCCAGTTATCTATCCATTGATGAATGAATAAATGAAGTGTGACCCAGCCACACAATGGAATATTATGCAGCCATGAAAAGGAGGGAAGCAGGGACTCATGCTGCAGCATGGGTGGACCTCGAAAACTTTATGCTAAGTTAGAGACGACAGGCACAAAAGGCCACCCAGTATGTGATTTGTTTATGTGAAATGTCCAGAACAGGCACACCTAGAGACAGAAAGCGGGTTAGTGGTTGCCAGGGGCTCGGGGAAGGTGTGTGTGTGGGGCGACTGCTAAGGGGGACAGGGCTCCTTCTTGGGGTGATAGAAATGTTTTGGAACTACACAGAAGTGATGACTGCACAACATGAGAGTGCACCAAATGCCACTAATTTGTACATTCAAAAGGGTTAATTTTATGTTATGTGAATTTCACCTCAACTGTTTTTTAAAAAAATATTTTTAATTGATTTCAGAGAGGAAGGGAGAGATAGAAACATCAATGATGAGAGAGAATCATTGATCGGCTGTCTCCTGCATGCCCCACACTGGGCATGTGCCCTGACTGGGAATCGAATCATAACCTTCTGGATCATAGGTTGATGCTCAACTGCCGAGCCCTGCTGACTGGGCTCAACTGTATATATATATATATTTTTTTTTTATAAAGGCAAGCTTCTAATAAAGTCAGAAGAAGGTTTTAAAGAGGCATTTCATGCCCTAACTGGTTTGGCTCAGTGGATAGAGCGTCGGCCTGCGGACTGAAGGGCCCCAGGTTCGATTCCTGTCAAGGGCATGTACCTTGGTTGCGGGCACATCCCCAGTGGGAGGTGTGCAGGAGGCAGCTGATCGATGTTTCTCTCTCATCGATGTTTCTAACTCTCTATCCCTCTCCCTTCCTCTCTGTAAAAAATCAATA